TCTTCTTGAAGATTATACGTCAGCCCTGGGGTGCAGTTTCGGTGTCGAATGTCGTGAGCGCATAATCGAGATTTGCTTAAGTACCAAAAAAAGGCTGACATATTGTGCTTGGAATCGCTGCTGCTGAGCCAACTAGTTCGATAAACTTGCCGTTTTACAGTTCTACGGAATAGGTTTTTTGTCACTCTCTCGTTCTCCACTGACAACATTTTTCGAAAGAAGCGCAAAATGGCATTGCAACGCCTTTTTCGGAGGGCCTGGCTTGCAGCACGCAAGCCTTGATCATAATGATCACTATTTCAAGAAAGCCTCTCCAGTTCCCTCGCATACATCTTCTCCCCTAGCCGGAGAAGTGGTAATAGAGGTGGTGAGTGAGGTAAGTAACGGCTTCGTAAGAGCACTGGAATCACCGAAGCCCCCCCTCAGTCAGAAATAACGACAGAAGCGGGTTCCACGTGTCTTCCGTATCGTTTTGGCACTTTCCTGCGCAATAACGTCGTCGACAGTCCATGATAAACAGTATCAGAGACTTTCCCGTGTTCAGCGCGACAGCAAGCGGCTAGCCTTGAGTGGTGTCGATGTTCCACAACTACCAACCTGTGCCCTTGTAAGTCTCCGAGTCCAAATACTCCAGCGTAATGTCAAAGTTAGTCACGGGCATAGGACGGATGGAAGGCTAGAAAGACAAGCTAACGCCATTGACTTATGGCAAGGATGGGAAGGGCTGGAAGCGATGCCGTTTTGAAAAGTAAACGTATGAAAACTGCGCTAGGATACTGCTACTTAACTATCAGTACTTTTTTGCTACGTTTGTATTCTCAACTTTAGTTGAGCTTTGGTCAGTACTCTTTTCGAGCTACGTTTACCCTACAATATGTACTGTCGGCAGGGTAACCAGTTTTGCGGGTCATGCGCTCATGCGTCCCGTGAGCCAAGAGGAAGGGGGTCGTCTACTAAAAATTCGAGGCTTTCACAGTATCGAGGGAGTTTAAATGAGGAGTAATCTGGGCCTTTCTCAAAAATACTAGATGAAGGAGTACATCACAAGGCTCCCCTGTCTAGGCTCCTTTGGATATTTAGCGTCTAGCTACAAGGCCTGTAACGGGGTACAATTCAGTGTGCCCCATGTTACATAATGAGTGACCCGTCACTCTTGTGGACACCTGGTACACGGTACCAGGTGCTCTCGGAACCAGTCAGTGCATGACTACTTAGCTCTACTATAGGTAGCCTCTAGTTTGTATGAGACCCAAGCTTATCTTACCTATAAATACATCAGTCTTAAAATCTACTCCTCTAAGTAGCAAACTGTTCCCACTGAGGCCGGGAACACGTGGACTTACGTTCACTCGGGTAGTTAATACCCTTAAGCACTTCCTCTGTGCAAGGTGCTGTGTGACCCGTCACAAGGCCTCTATTATTTCACGAAGATTGGCTTAAAATGTAAGCTGCTACCTAGATGTTTTGCTCAGTGTCCAATCTAAGAGAATGCTCCTTCGTTTTAGCTAGAGCTAGAGAGGAAGAAGCTCGCGCTCCAGCAAATATCGTCACTATACGCTTGTTCCGGAGTGTTTACGGTTTCAGTTGAGAGCGTTCAGAGTTTGATCTACATTGTAGCCCAATCAGATTCACACTTCTTAACACAAATCACGAGTCTTAACCGAAGCCTGTGACGTTTTGCATTGAGAATAAAGTTATACTTAAGTTTTTTAAGCTAATTATACTGAATGCTTGACGGTTCTCCATAGTGACGGCGAGCTCGTATGAGTTTTATTAAACGTTTCACTCGAATTAACTAGGACCTGAGCTTATGTGCACTTTAATCTCGAGCTAATTTTCGATCAATTAAAAAAAGCAACTAAAGCGTAAGTCACAGACGATCTACTTTTTAGTTATTTAGGACCAATATACGATGTTTTGGTTCCGCTTTTAATTATGGAACTTCACCTGCCTAAGATGTAATGATAGTATTGGCGGAAACCCCTATTCCAAAAAAAAGCTTCCCCACGCTGCATCCTTTTATCAAGGTCAAGTACGCTCTCGTTCAAGGAGAAGTTGTCGCGAATTTAAAGAATTGTTAATTCTTTTCCGGACCAGACAAGTTTTAAAGAATGCCCAAATTTGAACAGCTAAAATGTGTTGAGCAACTAAAATATGTCAAAACCAGAGCTTGAGTTGCATCGACGGTCGTCGACACAGCCGACGATATCCACAATGCGGGATAACGACAAACTTGCTCACAGCAACATTTAACGACAAGCATGATGACAACGCATACTGTTCAGCCGAGTAGATAAATTCTTAAAGCGCCGTCAGCACTATCTGGTTTGATGAGCTTAGCTGCAAAATGCCAAGCTTTACAAATACGGCTGGCCCACTCCCCATTTGTATCTTCATGTAGTGGGCTGGGGGCATGTAGCCTCATCCAGGGGCGGTAGTGCTGATCTTCGGATTGGCAGTGGCAGGCCCGCCAGGATATTTATTAACCATCTACCACAACGAACGACAGTGGGGGCCACAAACAATATGATTGGATAAAATACAACTTAGTCTAGATGCCTCACAGTGAGGATTCGCTTTCTATTTCTTTCTTTAAGACCTGCTCGCGCAATCCACGCTTAATACCGGCTCATGCAGGATCAGGATCATACGCGACTACAGCCCACACATATCTTCTTTGAAAAGACACGGCGATCGCTTACGAACGGTGCGTATAGGATTGTTTTTATACGGATGAAAGGTTTGAAGGAGATTAATGAATTACACGGAGTTTTCGCAGCTTACAAACCACCCTAACGACTCAACTTCCTCGAATCAAGTACGCGGATAAGAAAGTGGCTTAATGTTGAGCTGTAGCTCAACAATTCATTTTGCTGTGGTAGGTTCCTGTTCCCTTGTTGGATTCGAGAGCTTTCATACAAACCCGTCTGATAATGTCTGCCGGAAGCAATGACAAAACGATGGGCAAGAACCATAGGAAAGAAACACTTGTACTGGTGCATGTAGCCAATTACACTATGCCTACGTGGAACAGCATGTAACGAAGGATTTCAGTCCTACTTAATTTTTCTTATTGTATTAACTTCAACTCCGTTGTCTCGTTCAAAGATTCTCTAGCCAAACCTTAGCTAAACGCCGCTAGTACCCAGCTAGTAGTAGTGAGAGGTGTGGTAACAAGGCCCGGTGCTGCGAAGCCTGGGGAGGTGTTTTTAGCTAAGTGGGCGCTGGGTATGAAGCAATGTTTGTCGTACGTACGTGTTTCTCAATTGAATGAACAAATTCTAGCCTCTGCATTGGTATTACTTTGACAACCTACGCCACAATGAAGCCCTCGTGGTGGTGTGCAGGTAATTCATTTAATATTTTGGACTGGTTACTCGCAGCCCACCAAACTCCGTATTGTTAAACGTTCCTTCAAATTAGCAGAGAAGCTATTCCCAAATGATTAATACCACACATGATTTTTATTAGCGTTTTAACTTTGTGTGTTTTGTCACTTTGTATGCGTCATAGAAATAGGTCATCACGTCATACCTAGGAAGAGCACTGATATTTTGTTTTGATCTTCAGTATATAATAGCTTGGATGTGGCGACATATTATCGTTAGCTGCTCTGCAACAGTGCATCTAGTACAGGAATCGCTGTGTATGTTTGCCTCATCAAGATGAGCACTGCCGTTTGTAGACCGCGAGTCGAATGCATCGAATACATAGAAGATCGGGGGGGGGGGGGGTCGCTGAGAACCACAGTCTGCTGAATTACTCTGACCTTCTCCTCGCTAAACAATCCGAGAGCATACGGAGTGACGTCAGCATCAGTTTTTTTTTCAGTCCTGCACGGTTTCCTTTCTTTTCTGGAAGAGCTTCAGAACCCCCGAGCAATAGGCTATCATAGAGCCAAGCACTAGTTTGGTCCGCACACCATGCCACAGCAATACATTGTTGTCGCCCTCTATAGCACTGGTTGTGCAAACTCCAAATAATTGAAGCGCGTCTCCGTGTCGAGGGATATTGCCCCAGAACTCCAACAGCCACTTGCTTTCTTCAAAAGTGGGCTGCATGTTGCCAACAACACACCAATCGGTAGGGTGAATAGCTCGAATGTATGTGGAAACATACTCATCGACGATCTGCTTTGTTATCACTTCTTTTATTCTTAGAATCGCCGAAATAATTAGATCGTAGCTGGTTGAAGTCGATGCTTTTTGTAGCGCAAATACGTCGCCCTTTACAGACTGTAGATTCAATTTCGGGCCTTAAATTTATCCATCACATTGAAGCGAATATGGACCGAGCAGAACTTTAGATAGATCTTCAGGTCCATTGAAGCTAGTAATATTTGTGCACCTAATTGCTTCCCACGGTTACAAAAAAATGGTCTGTTATGTTATTTCAGGCCTGCTGCAATACAGTTGCTAAAGAATCAGGCGAAATTGCTGATTGTTTCTTTGTGAACGTAGGCGAACGCTGCCGGAACGTTTTGTTTATTCCCATCTTTGCCTATAAGACTCAAACAAATTCCGTTGTACATCGGATCTTTCATATGAGTTCCATCACATTCCCACACCGGTAAAAAGCTGTCTTGAGCTCGAACAACAGTACGGATAGCTACAAACGCACGGAAGAGTCTCCCCTTTGAATCTACTTAACAGCAGACGCGGGATGTTGGGTTTTTGTCTGAAAATACCTGCGAGAAGCTAGGCAGGCGACCGTATTCATCAAGGGGATCATTTTTTCTTTTTCTTTTCTTGTTGAATCGTACGATAAACGACTGTTGTATATCGACTCCATGAATTATCTTCATGTTATTGACGAGACGCGCCATTGAAGTGCTATGCCCATCCACTAAGGCGGCACTAAAACCAGGTTGCTCCTTTAAGTATTCGCTTGTCATTATTGCAGAGTGTTGTAGTTGGGGGGCTTGAAAACTTTTTAGAACTTCTCAGGAAAATATATCAGTCTATATCGAGAGTATGGTCGATTCACGTAAGCTCGTAGCGTAAGATACAACGTTTTTTTTCAGTAGCATTTGCAAATTTCTAGGCAAAAAAAAATCGGCGTCCTGGGTATCATTTGATAGGTTAACCTGTCTTCTGCTTTTTGGACACTTGTTCCTCCTGTTCATTTGGAGCACGACCGAAGACCTCGTTGAGCTGCTGAGACACTCTGATGAAAGTCGTGCGCTGCATAAGAGCAAGATTTCCTCAACCAACCTTTAGTCAAGCAAAACAATATTACAGCAATCACCATGTGCACTCACCTTGCTGATTTCCTTCAGTTTGCTGGCTCCGACGTACGTGCAAGTCGAGCGCACACCGCCCAATATCTCCTTGCACGTTCCAGAAACCGGTCCACGATACGGCACCGTCACGCTCTTGCCTTCCGAGGCACGGTACTCCGCCACACCGCCATTGTGTTTCTTCATGGCTTCAGACGAGCTCATCCCGTAGAATTTCTTGAACAACTTGCCATTCATCTCGATTTTGTCGCCTCCACTCTCGTCGTGGCCAGCGAGCATGCCTCCAAGCATGACGAAGTCAGCGCCGGCCCCAAACGCCTTCGCGACGTCCCCAGGACACGTGCAGCCTCCATCGGAGATGACGTGGCCATTGAGGCCATGAGCAGCATCAGCGCACTCCAGTACGGCAGACAACTGCGGGTATCCCACGCCAGTTTGCTTGCGTGTCGTGCACACAGAGCCCGGACCGATGCCGACCTTGATGATGTCGGCTCCGGACAGCAGCAGCTCCTCTACCATCTCCCCAGTCACGACGTTGCCGGCAATGATCGTGTGTTCTGGGAAAGCGGAGCGTACGTTGCGCACAGCCTGCACGAAAACCTCGGAGTAGCCATTGGCCACGTCCAAGCAGATGAAGCGGATGTCTGGGTGGCTCTTGAGGATGGCCGTTATCTTCTCGACGTCCGCAGCGCTGGAGCCACCGCTCACAGCGACAGTAGGCAACACGTCCGGGTGTTTGGCGGCAAAAGTAGCCCAATCTTGGGGCGTGTAGTGCTTATGTACACACGTGATGAACTCGAGCTTGGCGAGCTCTACAGCCATCTCGAAGGTGCCGACAGTGTCCATGTTGGCTGCGATCACGGGCTGAAGTAACGTATTTGTGAATGTAAATATCAAGTGACTGAAGAAGACTACAGAGTGATGGTAATGTTGCACGTACCACACCGGACCACGTGCGCTTCGAGTTGAGGAAGCGGATCTCGCGTTGAACATCCACCTGCGAGCGGCTCTTGAGCGTGGAGCGCTTGGGGCGGATGAGCACGTCCTTGAAGTCCAAACGGACTTCCGTCTCAATGCGTGGCATCGCTACACAGCTCTTCTTGGTAGCCCTGTCGCGGCGGGGAGGTGGCTTGCGTCCGAGGCAGCAAATTGCTGAATGGGCTGTCGACTGACGTGGCGGCGACAAGTGCAACCTCGCATTTAACTGAAGTAACGCAGCATAACCTGTAGTAGTTAATAAAGGTACTAAGTTGGTCGGTCACATTCGTTGTTAATGACAACGTAAGTACGGTGGTATAAATAGCCTTGCAAACCAAATGAAATATCTTAGCTCGCACCTAACGTTACTTCGTCCACTTCAACTTCTGAAGTAGGTTACTTCAGCGTGATGTCACATGAATACAGCAAGAAGAATACAATGCATACGTGTAGCGCCAGCGAGAGAGTAACAACAGAAGCGCTATAGGTTGTAAAGCGTGATGGCTGTTTTGGAATCGGTCTGGTAGCAAATTTAGCGATTGACAGCGAGTCGAATCTGCCCTAGTTTTAAATGGGTTGACACAAACTTAAACGTTGAGTGTACATCACCAATTCCAAAAACCGACGACATGCGATCATTTAAGCAAAGCTGTCGTCCCAAATTAGCCCCTTCCATCAATGGTCCTTTGAATGCGTGCTGCTGTTTCAGTTCTTCCCTCACGAAGTCCCAGGAGAACTTGTCTATCGTAAGAAAGAATGGTTCAGCAACAACGCAGTCAGTTCGACAGCTCTGCAACAGAAGTAGCCTTTACCGGTATCCAAACGCTGTTGATACATGTAGTACCCCCGCGGGCTGAAGAAGTCCGATTGCTCAAAACGTGTTCCTGTAGGTGATTTCTATGCCCTCCCTATAATTGGTCATAGGAATGGTCACCCAGCTTCGATTTTGTGAAAACGTGCGGTGCATAGCTACACGTATCAATTTCGAGTATTATTATTACCATGTTAAATCACGAGACTGTTGTCGAAGTCAAACCATTCGGACGCGATACCAGCTACTTTAATGGTCTATTTAGCTTCAACATACATGTATCAAGCCCAGAACGTGACCAACAATGACTCAGCACATATTCCAACAGTATCCAGCATAATAGTCGCACGGCTTCACTCGCCTTGATCCTGGACCCATCCCTTAGCTTATTAAGACATGAACTGGATGGTCTTCTCGTAGACGAGGAACGTCACTGCACTAACAGGAAACGCTCGGAGCATTGTGGCACTGAATCCCTTTAAGAAAAAGCCAACTCCTTCCTGCTGCATTCTCGTCCTTGCAATCTGGGTCATGGTCATCTGCTGACCCTCAAGACTCTGACTCTGCACACAGCTCTTGACCACATCTTGGGGCATACTCACCATCCACGACAGCATTCCTGCAATGCCTCCAGCCATCATAAGCTTAAGATCCGTCTCGTTCTCACTCTGGCCTTCGGTGAGCCATCTCTTGGTCGCCTCGTAGCCGCAGAAGTACGCTCCAAATGCCGGGACATCTCTCAGCAAACACGCTTGCCAGCCCTTGAACAGCGTCCTGGCTCCATACCTCCTTAGCATCGTGCGCCCTGCCACTAGAGAGCTGTGTTCTGCCCCCATAGCTCCAGTCTGAAGCTGGATCTTGACGTGTTCCGACGGTGCCGCAAAGATCACTTGGACTAGTCCAGCACTAGATCCAGCCATGAAGTGCTGGGTACTGGACAATGGAGCGTCGTCTGTCTGCAAACCACGCACCACTTGGCCTTGTACACCAAAGACCACAGCGTTGATAGGTGCGTTGCTCAGGATTGGGGACAATAGGCCCCGATACAGCCCCGCAGCACCGTCAGAGCCAACAACTCGGCGCAGTGTGCGTAAGACGCCGGCTCCTGCTTCGCGACTGGTTTGGAGCTGCACCTTGACGGTGTCCAATGGGTGACCAGCTACAATGCCCGCTACGCCGCCGATAGTACCGGCGTTCAGGTCCTTGGCGATGTCCAGCCACTCCATCTTGCAGCTGGCGAGGGATTCTGCGAATGACACGAGCCAAGAGCTGCACAAAAGTGGCATAGAGCTCTTGAAGACGAGAAGTTGATGTGTTGAACACAAGTGGTCAGCTGTTTAAGTTGCTGAGAGACTTTTTAAGGTGCTGAGAGACTTTTGCAAACTTCAAACGCACGAGATTGAACTAATCGCACAAAATGAGGCAGGGTGGCGTGCCGGACGAAATATTCGCTGGCCGGAGGTTGGATGGGCAGCACAACGCGGTGGATGCTCCATTGGAACGGGATCACAGCACGCTGAGCTGTTCCGTGGATTCGCTTTGATTGGCACCAATTTGGTGGTGTGGGCTAAACAAGACCAGTACGTTCGATCCTTGCCATGCGTTTAGAAGAATAAGAGCAGTGCTCACTGTAGGCTGTAGTTTGTGCAACGAAGGCTGTGGTGTAACTACCACTCGCCGCGGCCTATCACTGCCCTTGTTAAATACTGCTTCATGAACAAGATCTATTCGTTCCTTTCCGTCTTTAACAGGATGGCCTTGAAGACGAGTGCTCCTAATCACAGAACAGGTGTTATGTTGCGAGAAAGTTGCTCCAATCTGGACAAGAGCAACTTGTCAGCTTCAACAATCCGCGGACAGAAGTGCCCCAAATCGCTTGCTCTTCGCACCAAGCTCGACCTCTAGAGCGCGGCAGCTCGACGGCTTCTCACTCCCAATTCGGCGTCCGACTTCGCAAGCGACTCCTCACGCCGTCTACCAACTGAAACACATCTTCCTCTCCATCCACAATGGTCGCAGCCTCGTCGGAACGCGCCGCCTCGGTCGAATCCCCGGAGCAGGATCTGAGCTCACAGTTTGTAGAGCGCTTCGTCAAGGGCATCGACCTCAAGGATGAGCTCGAGATGTCTGAATACAAGCGCAAAGAGTTGAGTGGCGAGCTGCAGCCTGAGCCGTACCTCGTTGCGAATCCCAACCGCTTCGTGCTCTTCCCCATCCAGGAGCACGATGTGTGGCAGATGTACAAGAAGGCAGAGGCCTCCTTCTGGACTGCCGAGGAGCTGGATCTAGTGCACGATCTCAACGACTGGGCGAAACTCACAGACAATGAGCGTCACTTCATCAAGCACGTGCTCGCCTTCTTCGCTGCCAGTGACGGTATCGTCAACGAGAATCTGGCCATGAACTTCAGTAACGAAGTGCAGATCCCTGAAGCTCGCTGCTTTTATGGCTTCCAGATCGCTATCGAGAACATCCACTCGGAAGTCTACTCGCTGCTTATTGACACGTACATCAAGGATGCGGTGGAGAAAGACCACCTCCTTCGAGCTATCGAGACCATCCCGTGTGTCCAGAAGAAACACTCAAATGGTGTGACCCACGTGTATCGTCGTACGCAGAGCGTCTGCTAGCGTTTGCTGCAGTGGAAGGAATCTTCTTCTCAGGCTCGTTCTGCTCCGTGTTCTGGCTCAAGAAGCGAGGACTTATGCCTGGCCTAAGCTTCTCGAACGAAATGATTAGTCGCGACGAGGGTATGCACACGGACTTCGCGTGCCTGATGTACTCGAAGCTGGTCAACAAGCTGCCGGAGAGTCGTGTCCATGAGATCATTCGTGACGCTGTGGCGATTGAGCACGAGTTCGTGTGCGATTCTCTCCCGGTGGAGCTCATCGGCATGAACTCGGCGCTCATGTGTCAGTACATTGAGTTTGTGGCAGATCGTCTTCTGTACTCACTGGGTGTATCCAAGATCTACAACGTGAAGAACCCATTCGACTGGATGGACATGATCTCACTACAGGGCAAGACAAACTTCTTCGAGAAGCGCGTGGGCGAGTATTCGAAGGCTGGCGTGGGTGTTTCAGCTGAGGAGCAGGTGTTCACTCTGGACGCCGAATTCTAGCCAGGAATTAATGCACTAGATGCACAGAAAACTACCTCTTGTAGCTACAACTCATAAAGTAAATGTAAAAAAGATCAATCACAAGCGACATCATTGCCAGATATGCAGCGCCTCGCACGGATCTTAGCGGACGCTGACGAGGACCAAGTCGCTGATGCCCCAGCTGCAGACGGCGAAGGCGGCGAAGCGGATCCCCGAGCGCATGGTGAAACCGGAGAGGCGGCTGAGGCACTGGCGGAACGAGTGGTAGAAGGTCTGAGGGAACGATCGGCCCAGGAGGAAGATGAAAGCTTGTTTGGCGCGTCACCACGAGCCAAAGAGAACCGAAGAATGTTTGTGACGATGTTGGGGACGCCTCAAGGCAGAACTAGCTTCCAAGCGCTCCTCGGGACTCTAGCTGATTGGCCGACTCCCAGAGAGGAGCAGGCGCGGTCAAGAGAGGCACGAGAAGCCGAGACGACGGGTTCTGGAACGAGACGAGGAATGTCTTTCTCGCTGGATTCGTCCCGACCGTCGCTGAATCCCGTGGACGAGACTGAACGAGAAGCGTCCTCAACTGCGGCAGCTGATTACTCTCAGGAGGAGGATCTTGGAAGGCTGTGTAAGAGCGACGCCCCTGCGCCTTGGTCGCACTTTGGAAGTACGACCGACTTTCAAGCTGAGCCTCCGAGCGGAGTGGAACGCCACAGAGCGTCAAGTGCGACGTTGCAAGCTCCTACCACGATTGTACGCCGTGGAGCGAAGCCCGCTAGTCAAAGAACGACGCCTGTGAACTGAAGAATGATGCCAGCGAATAGTGGAGCGACCCCTGCCAGGGACGGAACGTCGCTTACCAGTGAAGGGACGGCGACGGTGGACCCGGCTCTTCAAGCCTTTATCGGCTACCACGACGGCCAGGCGATGCAACATATTGCAATGTCAAGTGGATCCGTAGGGGTTCAACACTCCCCGTCGAAGGACCGAGGGTCGAGAACGGCGGAGGCCTCGCCTCGATACTCGACGAACGAGTTGGATCGACTGTTAGAGTCCCCGAGGAGTGAAACCCGTAGTCCCGGGAACGGAGACATCATGTATCGGTCAACCTCTGTAACTCGAACCGGTGGACTAACGTCTCCTACCCATTCGTATGAGAACGTATCTGTCCAAGCACCCCGAACGTACGACGGAAGTGGAGCGTATGGCACGCCAAGACGGTACTCGTCCTCGAATCCGTTTGGTCCAATGTTACCGCCGGGTTGGAACCCGATTGAGATGCCTCCTACTTACCCGTTTACGCCTATGACTACGCCCTCAATGCCCGCTGGAATGTGAGCGGAAGAAACGCCGAATGGGGGAACGAAGCCGACCAACGGGAGATCGTTCCAAGATCACGAGGAAGAACCGCGACTCGGTGGAAACACGGGATTTGACCGAGAACGCCACCCTATATATGCAACGCCTCGCCCGAATACTCCCGTGGCCTCATATGCGGGACGTGAGCCTCATGACTATGTCGGAGGGCATGCTTCTATGGTAAAGATTCCAAACGAGCTGAGGAACGCGGTCAAAGTGATCGCTCCGTTTTATTCGGACACGGCCTCGAGTGAACGATCTGCGGCGTTTTGGCGTTCGCTCGAGAAGTGCACGATGGGAATGGACGACCAATTGCGCTTAACGGCTTTTGAACAGTGTCTGAAGGGTAAAAAGGGACAAGATGGTGGTACAACTCGAGGATCCATAACTTTGAGTCGCTTCGTTCCAGATTTCACAACCGGTTCGTCTGTCTGACTCCGGCACAAACGTGGACGTGCCTTAAGACGGCAGCAAGAAAATGAGGAGAGTCTGCCGAGGAGTGGGGTGATCGACTCGAGACGATATGCGACGCGCTGAACTTGCCCGAACCCCGCATGAGGTACGAGTTCTTCCTTGAGGGAATAGGAAACAAGCAGATGCGAGCGGTGCTGAACGGTAACGTGATTGGGTCTATTGAGCAAGCCTGTCGCATAATGTTGTTCAAGAATCTTTACCTGCCTATCGAAGAGAACGATGAATTTCCCGAGGAGGGAATGAATCCCCAGAGTACGAAGAACGTGCCCTCGACAGAGCTACAAGTACTTCAAGAGCTGCAACAGCTAAATCGGAACTCACAAAAACATTCTAGAACGAGTGACTCTGAACGATCAGAAACCGACTAGTCCTTCTAATCCTAACGGTGGTGTGAGTGCTGAACGGGGGCCTCTCAAAATTCGTATGGGTCCCGACACTCGCACCGCAGAAGGAGAAGTAGTGTGCGGTCGCTGCGAACGAAAGGGGTGTAGTCGAGAGACGTGTCCTCGTGCGAGAGGATTGTTTAATCGTTGTCACCGATTTGGTCACTACTCCATGGAGAGTAACTTGCCTAGTCGAACGGGTGGAAATCGATTTGGAGATCGCCGGAGCACGGAGTGTTTCTTTTGTCGTCAACCGGGTCATGGCATGACCAGCTGTCCTGAGATCGAGATACTACGTAGTCTCTTGAGGAACGCCGTAGCAACTGAGGCGATTACTGCTCAAGGTTCGACTACACCAACAGGAATGTCCCGGAAATGAAGGGGGCAAGAGGAAGGGGAAATAAGTGTTGCTCTTTCCTCTTGCCAGGTTGGCGACACAAAGGGAGATGAAGGTTCACGGTTACGGGGATTTAGTGGACCTGAGAAGGCTCTCGAGGTTGGTGTGAAAAATGCTAGAGTAAGCGCTCGGAACGTTCCCGTTGCAAGCGTGACGACTGAAAATGTGGATGTTGTAATTGAAACGAGAAGTCTAACGGAAGGACTGGCTTAAGGCATGAAGGGGAAGGGAAAGTCTCTACGGAGTGACCGGAAATAGAGATGGAACGAGAGAAAGGAGCAACGGAAAGCTCCTCGATAAAAATGAAAGGTGAAGAGGGAACGAAGGGTCGTTCCAATTGGGCACAGGACGTCGATCAAGGGACAACGGAGCGTTCCGAGGATACGTTAAAGACCCAGGAAGAATGCAACAGACGAACGGAAGTTGACGAGCTGTCCAACGAGTCTACGCGAGATGAACATACACTCGAGACCTAGACGGAAGACGTGGTAAGCGTCAGAACCAACCTGTTTGCGGTTGTAATCGGATTAGTAAAAGTTCCTAGGGAGGACGTTGAGACTCCCGACGCAGGGCTGGATTCGGGACGTACCAAGGCGACGGACTCATCAAACGAATTTGATCGTCTGTTTACCGACAAGGAGGAGGATATGCTCGAACGCGGTGACGATCCGATAGTGAAGAGTGAGCTCGAGGAGTACGACAAGGAGCAGGAAGAACGATTGTTGCCGTTGGACGACGAGAAAATTCGGTCACGAGTGAAACAGAACCTAGCAGGCAGGCGAAGCCGTCACTTGCGGGACTGAGTGAGCAGCTGAGGATATCGGAGGAAGTGCTGGGGCCGACAAGGGAATTCTCTACGGGAGAGTTGAGGAAGCCGGGGTACTGGCTAGGTTGGTACGAGAAGTCATTAGAGAACTCTGCAGTGGCCAGACGTGCTAGTCGGGACTTTAAGGACGAAACTAGAGCGACGGAGACTGTGTTGCCCGTCAGCTCCATTACCGAAGAAGGAAACGTTAACAGTGCATCGAAGGACGACTCCGCTGAGAGTGAATTCAAACGGAACGTTTGCGTTGGATTCGATGAGTCTCCAACTGTAATAGACGAAGAAAAGAAGGAGTCCCGTTACCTTTTTAGATGGCGTTCCGAAATCCGGAAAAGAGTGTATGAAATGCTCAAACAGGAAAGGGACGAATGTCGGGTGGGAGAGACTGATCTAGAGGAAGAGAGCGGAACGCGGGATAATATTTCCCCGCTGCGAGACAAGTCCGAGGGAAACGTTTTGGACGAGGAGTTCCTTCGTGCACACCTAGAAAAAGTAGGTGGAACGACGTCCCGATCGTTCCAAAATCAAGCGGTGAATTGGGCTCGTTCCTATTTCCGGACTGAGGCTTCTTCCATCCCAGACACATTGCGCGACAAGCAAAAAGCTTCTAAAACAGACGAGCCCGTCGCAGATGCCGTTGCACTAAAACGGTTGAAGAAGGTGACGTTTGGACTTCCAATCGAATCGTCGGAAAAAGAGAGGCTGAAAATAGCCGATGAACTATCCGACATCTATGCAATCAACGCGCGAAGGGCTCCGCGGCCGCGAAGGTCGCCGGGATTGCCAGCCGTGCGCGAGGCCGATGCTTCTCAGGATGGATCAGGAGCTGTAGCGGAAGGAAAACGCGTCATTGGTAGTGTAGGAGGGCTTAAAGCGGTTACCGGTGGCTTCATTGACTGTTGCCCATCGGAAATATTGGCAGACACGGGAGCTACGGCGAGTCTCGTGAACCGGCGGGTGCTGAAACGACTTGGTCGAGTGTCCGAACCCTCACGCCCTACACTGGGAGCTTAGACAGTGTTTCGGGACATGAAATTCCCGTGCGTGGCATGGTCGAGCTTCCAGTAGCACTTGGAACTGTCGATATGGCGCTTCCGTTTGTGGTAGTTGACCATTAGTTCGTGGATGCTATTTTAAAAACGGGCTCGTTGCGTTCGTTCCGAGCAGTCATGGATCTCGTAGACCGAACGATGACACTGAAACGGACGGGAGAGGTGATCCCGTTGGGCATCGCGAGAGTAGAGGAGACTTATGCAGTCATGACGCCTTCAGCAGTGCGGTTGAAGCTTGGTCACTTCGCGCTGGTCAAGTCCAAGATTTGTGGAACGATGAAAGATCGTTCCACTGTTCTGGTAGAAGGCATCCCTGGTACGGATGAGAACTTACGAGTGGCCAGAACACTGTGCACAGTAATGGATGGGACGGCCCTAGTGGAGGTCTGTAACGCGTCCACGGAAGAAGTTGAAATTCCGTCGGGTGCGTACGTAGCGGCTATGACGCGTTCCCAAATCTGCTTTTGGAATGAAAGCCCGAGGTGGAACGACGAGTGAGGTAAGCGTTGTGATAAGTGCTACCGACAGCAACAAAGGGA